TTATAAAAAGTATGTTTAGAGAGGTCAATTACTTTAATAGTTTTTAGACGTAATTTCGGGAGTCTTAAGATATATCAAGATACTTAATGAGAGTATATCCTATTATTACCTTCTCCATGTGAGAAGAGGCCTTTGCTCAGTAGTGGGCTCTGATAGGCTGATGACGACGACTATTAGTTTCGCTATGAAATTAACACAATTCGAAAGCAAGTGCAGACACACAACCAAAAATTGTAATTAGTTTTATACAACTTACTGTTGTATGTAATCTTTTTCATAGAAAAAAAATATACAATTTTCTTGACGTTAATCTTAGAAGTAAGTAGGAAATGTAGAAAAAAAATCTTAAATATATAATCACCTTATTAAGTTTCTCTATAAGTCAAGTTATTAAGTTTATTTCAACGTTATTTATGCTCTCTTGAGAGCGTACTTAGCTATGTTTGTGAGCTGAACTTAGTTTTAGTTAGTAATATATGTGTTTAGGTTTTTGGATATGCTTATAAAAATATATTTTGCTCATCCACACACAAGTGAAAATATATTTAAAAAAAGCATTCAAGTCTACACATGACTAAAGAAAAACAAATAATTTTTTCATATATACTTTATTATTTATCTTTAATTTCTGAAAAAACATGATTAAAACAAAAACTATTTCGCAATCTTTTCTGTTTTGAACAAAGAGAAATATAGTATTTAAGTTTTTCTTATTTAAACAAAAGCAACTGCGTTGTAAGGTAGTTTTGCTACCAAATTAATTATTCGTTTACGGTATACCTAAGTTCGCAAACTTTGGTGTTATATCTAACCATTATAATGTAATGTAATTGAATTGTGTTGTAGCTGATTCTAAGCTCAAGTTAGTTAAGAGTTGAGATATTCTAACCCGACTTAAACTAAATTCATTGGTCGTTATTTCAATATTTATTAATATGTTGAGGAAGCAATTAAATTTTTTATTATAATTATATACTAAAATTCAATATTTTGTGAACAAAAATTATATATTAATCAATTAAATTTCAATGGCTTACGATGTATAACAGGGTGCCATTTATTTATTTCTATTCTTTTTTAGACACAAGATTAATCTCCTCAATTTTTTTTTATCAAAAGTGCGAATCGTAAAAAGAATGCCTAAAAAAATCTCTATAAACACTAAAATTCTAAATTGACAAAATTTTTCATAGATAATATTGTAAGCATATATGTAAATTGTTATAAAAGTTTTGAAAGCGCAAGCAACTCCCAAAAACAAATACATGTATGTAAGACTTCATTAATAATTTGTATATTATGTAATCCAAGAAATAGATGATTAAGAAAATGTACATAGGAATTCATCTGGCCACTTTCATCTCGTCTGTCCGTGATCACGGTTACTGTAAAGTAACCGAAACTTCGGAATTATGTAGTCATAAAAAAATAAAATCGAGTAAATATTATTGGAAAATTTTTGTTTCATTTGAGAATATACACATTTAATACATATAATAAGCATGCAGTAGATTTATTTGGTTTTAAATATAAATATAATAAGAAAATGAATAGATATTTTGATACAGTAATTGTAAAACTTTTAATGTAAAAAAATTTAGATCATTGTACATTATGTTGGCTTCCAATGAAATAAATAAATACAGTATATAAATGTATAAGTTAAACAGAGTTATACACAAGATTTGTTTCCACATTGGTGTATAGATGTGCTTTTTAAATAAAATATGAATAAATTTTATGTCATGATCCATTTTAAATGTTAAAATAGTTTAAATAAATGTAATATTTTTTTAGCCAGAAAGATGGACCAAAAACAATTTGTATTCTGGTAATATTAATATACATATATAAATTAATTCCTTTGCAAAACGCCGATAAATATTTTAAATATTCACATTCATATTTTCTATAATGACATTTGCAGATTACAGTTGATTGCATGAGATATTCCGTGATGAAGCCATTTTCTCGAACTATTCATCAAGCGGGTGCCATTAGGGTGTGTTCATATAAAGTTCATCGCGCTCAACCTTTTGCGATATTTTTTGCCTGTCTCCTTTACATATGTTCCTTTTTTATATAATGAAAAGGTCAATGCCGTAATTACTTTATTATATATTTACTCATAAAATTAGCTCCTGGGCTATTTAGAGTTTATAGTTTTAATAATTATTATAGTTCTACGGCAACGAAATTTTTCGCTGTACTAGATATTACCACAGTAGACGAAAGAGTGGTGAAAACATTCGTAGGTTTCAGAAAAAACAAAGTTTGCGATAAATTTACTAAACTAAATCCATTTAACTTCCTTAGCCGTTACGTAGGCTACATTTCTTTGAGATCTGGAAAGATGTTAGCAAAATTTCTATATACTATTGTACAAAAACAATAGAATCACTTACACGTGTCCGACCCTTCAAATAGCTATTTACATCTCTCTTAAAGAACCTCATACTTATTATCTTATTACCTTTACTACCTTGGGAAAACCTTAGGAAAGCATTTTTTTGCTAATCCAACGTTTTCGAAAGCAAGTACCTTTAAAATCACCCAAAATTTGGGACACAATGTAATGTGCATTCTCTAAGAATAGTAAGCAGTGTGATGATAAAAACTGGCCGTTTTTTTCGTCATATACTTCCTCGGAAAAAATTTAATAGGCAGTAAAACACGCACAGGAAGGCAAGATCTCTCCTGAGACTTGCTTCAATACCACGTATGAGCACGGGATAACCTACAATTTTCACAGCTCGTTTTCGAATGGCATCTAATAGTCAAAGTTGGTAATCAAATGCAATAGCCCAGAGATGAGTAGAGCTATGTAAGGACAACAGTATACCAGCAGTAATGTTTTCCCCTGGACGTAATACCACTTATGCTTTGTCAGGCAACATAGTTTCTTGGAGGCCAAACTTGGATTTGTCAGTGAAGTGACTTCGGTATTGACCGTTGTCAAGAATCTGAGAATCTCAATTCTCTAACGCAGTAAATGAAGTTTTATTAGCGTTGAACATAAATATTTGTGTCTTGGTATGGTTAAATTGGACCAAATTATCCCGACCCTGATAGGAGACCTTGGCTACGGTTCTCCCACTTTTAATCACAAGTGTCCTACGATTTGTAGTCCTAGTTTGTCCAAAAAAATTCAAAAGTTATAATTGCTTGTACAAATGATTAGTATCAATTAAAATTGAAGTAAATATCACGTACGTATTTAAATTCCGTTCGTTTGATCAATGGCTATTTCGATATGTTCAACATATTTATAACATATAAATATTTGCTCTATATTACAATTGTGCTATTTCATTTACTATGTAATTATTAAAAAAATGCATTGAATAAAAAAACATTAAAGGAAGATAAAAAAAAGTCTTATTCTTTCTTTTATATCCCAAGGTTTCAAACTTTTTGAATATATGCACATGAAAAATATATGTAAAATAGGTGATATTTGTAATATAACCTATTGTTTCTGTATTGAAAGTTGAACATAGCATAAGATTAATAAATGCACATAAATTAGTCCCGGCCCAGCACACCCTCGAGGTGTGCCCGAGATGGGCTGCGCAGCGCCAAGACCTTGTGGCGGCTCTCGGCGGAGTGGACCTGTCGCTTTCGAGTGTCGTGGAGAAGATGCTCGAGAGTGATGGGTCCTGGTTGGCGGTGTCCTCCTTCTGTGAGACGGTCATGTCCACGAAGGAGGCATCTCAGCGGGAAAGGGAGAGGGCGGCTGATGCTCCCTCCCCCCGCAGGCGACGTACGGGGGTGCGACGGAGGCAATTCCTACGCCTCCAATAGCACCCCTGTGTTCCGGGCTGGGGTCGGCGTGGTAACCCGGCCCTTTTGAAAGCCCGGCGTCGTCGGGGTGGTCCTAATTGCCGGGATCGCCCCCATTCTCCGAGGGAGTAAGTCCGGTCTTTGCCAGGACCGGCCAGTCGCTGGTGTGCCCTGTCGCTGACAGATCCGGGGTACACCGACATAACGGCCGATGGCTTTCGCAGTGGTTTTAGTGAGTAGGGGCCTGCCCAGGCCGAGCCTCACACATCCCTTCCGGCCCCACCAAGGTCGGTTGGACGGCTCGTAAAAAGAGTTTCCACTACGTCATCAAAAAAAAAAAAAAAAAAAACATAAATTAGTCCACCGACAACACTAGCAATTGTCGTTATACTAACAGAGCATTGTAAACAAAGCCTAAGTTTTAATGAACCAGGTCACGTTGGGGCGATGACGTCACAGGACAACAGTTGGGTTGATGTGTCCCGATTAAACCCCAGCCGTAGAAGGTAAGGTAAATTAATGACCACATTATATGAGATATAGTTTGTCATGCATCTTGGCAGATTACCAAAACTTTGTAAAGATGGCTGACCTATTAAAAAATATACTATTCTAGTTGTAAATAAATCTCAGGTCACATAAAATTTATGATTTAGATTGCATAAATATTATTTCAACTTGAGAACGTTGACTCTATCAGTCTAGACGTACTAAGTAATGTAAATACCCAAATGCCTTTAGAGAAGATTTTGTTTAAGGAGACTCTAAATTATAAATATTTTAAATCTCTCTTGTGATATTAAGTCACTATTTAGTTGACGGTAAGACATTACATTGTACGTTCCACTGCATAAAGTAATTATAAAATATGTTGTAATATATTCTATTGATCAATAAATACCTTATTTATGTATCCATATTGAAAAATTTTTGAATGTAAGGAAAAATTAATAATCTTGTAAGTGTATGCTATAAAAAAAGTCTTAGCCGATTATAATAATATTTTGAACATACAAGTGTTATGAGATTGTTTTCATAATTGACAGTCTAAATATCTTGTAAATTAACATTCATAACCAAATAAATGAACTCAATATTCCGAGCTGTTATAAATGAAGAGAAGTGCTGTTTCTATTTAAATTATGCAGTTGCTTCATTAAGATAAACTATTCATTAATTAAGGGCGTAAAAGTCTAACGAGTATCAAAATAGTAATTTCAATGCAGTGGGCTGTTAGCCATTCCTTTTGCAAGACCCAACTCAATGCCTGCTAATTATAAATAGTTAATTTAGAATTCACGTCATTGTCTTGTGGAATGTCGGACAGTTTTTATTATTTCTCATTATCCCTTAAAGAATTTACAGAAATACTCATAGTTCGAACGCTTGGAATCTCGTATATTATAAGGACTACAACCTAGCTGTGGTTAAGAAACTACAGCTCGAACATAGGCTGGCTTGAAAAATCGGTAGCCCTTCCCTTTTCCTTTCCTCTGTTTACCTTTACCTTCTGTCCTGCATAAGTTGAAGTCTATTTTGAGATATTGACCGAGTTTCATTGACATGGGGTCCAGAAAGACTTGGCAACTACGGATAGGATCGGGGTCCCTTCCGTACCTGGAACTAAACTCTACTCGACTCTCAATTGAGACTGGAGCCAATGCTCTTTGACAGGATGGTTATTGGATCAACAGCATTCTTCCATCTGACTTTTCACTTTAAGGCTGGCAACGCATATAACACCATGTTGCATATGTCTATGAGCAACGGTAACTACCTCCGGTCAAGTATTCCGTCTGTTCGATTGACGAATTTAACAAAAAAATATATAACTTCTATTGATATTACTCCAGTCTGTAGAACATCAAATTTGAGTTAAAACAATATCTCTCATTCTATCTTTTATATATTCTGAAGCAATTTAATATTTGTCACAAGTATTTGGCATCAAATATATGTAAAATTGAACCATCAAGTAAATAAAGAATAAATAATATACATAATAGCAATTAAATTGTTATTCAGGAATAGTTATCGTCAACTAATATCACTTTTTTTTATAGAATGCAAGCATTAATTTGCAAGTTCCATTTATATTCATAAACACGAGACCGCAGTCGAGTCGATAATGGTGGGGAGGTAGTGATAGCGGGAATGATTTTCATTTTATAAACAAAATAATAATGATTTAAATATTGAATAAAAATAATTATAATAAATATCTTTTATGTTTTCAAAAGATTAAAATACAAACAAGGTTTGGATTAGAGATAATATTCATTTCAGTAGTAAATCGAATAGAATAGATGTATATCACATTTAATTTTCCTGTTTTTGAATGATTTTAAATGTATACTATTATGAAATTGAGTTACCATTAATCGTAAACCATAATGAAGAATCATGAAAATTATTGAGAGCAGTAGAAAAAGGATCTAAAAAAAGTCTATGTGTTACAAATTATAAATAATTTAGGCCCTCAGAGTAAATAATGATAAATGATCTATCGTACGAATATGAAATAAAATTTCATAATCATACTATTTATAGGACATAAAAGTAAATATTTTTCATATATTATAAATGCTGACTGAATTGATAAAATTGAAAATACGGCTTACGTAATATTGTAAACTCGACATTCGTATTCCGTATAGATCAAATCTAGGTCACACACGTCTTATATCACTAGGTCCAATGTTTTAGAATAAACAATGAGATATTTTAAATAATATATTTTCCTTACATTTGGGGTTATTTTAAACAATATATGTAAATGTAAAACGCGTTTGAAACACGTTAATGCTTCAATGAGATTTGTGAATATTAAAATATTTATGACCTAAACAAAGAAAATAAGAAAAAAATATTTATTTTCACCTGTAAAATAGATTTATATAATTATAACAAAATCGCTTACAATGTGTCATAACAATATTCATATACTCGCAGTGATTTGTTCATGGAAATGACCCTTTAATAACGAAGCCATTTAAAATTTGCACGAGTCGATACAATTGCATTCTGTCGCTCGGGAAATTACATTTTGTATTAAAGAATAAATATCAATAATATAATTAAATCTATTACAAATAATATACAAAAACATTGAAATGAAATACATTACGTATCCAGAGTGTTTAAAATAATTAAAACTATGAAATAGTCCATAAAGTTTTAATGTATGGTTATAAAGGTATGACTTCTGTTATTATATAAAGTACAATAACAGTAGCAATAAGGTCGTGTTTTATATTCATAAGTATGACAAAGCGATGCTTGAGTGTATTTGAATGTGATAATGATGTTCTTATAACAAATATCTTTTGAGTACGACCCGGTCAGATTATAATACTCTTAATAATATACATATATTCGTAATGAAAATTCTTTTTCATTTCATGTGTACCAGCAATGTATATTTTAATCTTTTTAAAATTAAACTCTATGTTCAACTAAATTAGATCCATTATCGAGTAGTTCATGACAGTTTATGACAGCAATCAATTAGATTTTTTGGTATGAAAAATTGTCTTCGCTTTCATCGAAATCATTTTTGTTAAGTAATTAGTTTCTTCAACCTGCAAAGACGATCCTTATCAACATTTCACTTTATAAATATTAAATTTATTAATGTGAGTCTGTCTGTTTGTTACTACTGAATACTGTAACTACGTCGGTCATAAAGTTCCTCGGTCCTTACCTACTTTTAAAGGATCCCTTTAAGGGTATTATAAAAGTCAAAGTTTTTGCGAATGCATGCATTTTATGACGACTCCATAAACTTACAAAGTTTACCATAGATTGTAAAACACAGGGTGAAAATAAAAGGGTGAATATTTTTCGAAAATTGAGGCTATATTGGGCTCAAAAGTTGATTTGCATATATATAGCATATAGGCTTACAATTGATAATTACAAAACATGTTATAATTTTTTACTTAAAAACCTGGATACCGAAAACAAAAATCAAAAAGTAGCTATGTAAAATATTAATCAATACATTTTACTGATACACACAAAATGATGTGACAGAGACCAATATAAAAACATTCAAAATTAAGGCAAAACTGAACTTAAAAGCATTTAAAAATTCATTTTTATTTTTGCAATTCCAGACATATAAATACAATTTACTTTCAAAAGGTTCCAAGTGTTTGAATATCACAAAATATCCAGGTGAATTTAGAACTATATCGCAATAATCAAAGCAAAAATCCCTTACAATATCATCACCTATTTAGTTCCAAGGTGTGAAGGAACATCATTTTCAATTCGCACACTAATAGATGTCAAAAATGTTAGCGCTTTGTCGCGATTCTAATTAGTTATTAACTTGTCAGTCTCGATGACGTGACGTTTTGTTAATGTGCCATTCCGGTATATAATAGCTTGGTATAACAATTTTTCATATTAATTCATTAAAAGCTTAAATTAATAGAAAATTATATCTATTTATTTAAAAATAGGTATAATTAATACCTGTTAAATTAATTATTTTATACCAATAAAAAATATGGATAAGCGTCTTGTAAATTGCAATTTAATCTTTAAATTTAAGATAAGGGAACTCATTAAAAATAATTTAGATAATCCGTTGTATTCAAAGTCAAATCGTTAATTAATTCATCAATGGAGTATGATTAAATTACCTGCTGATTATTTTATTATAAACAACATTTCTCCCGTGACTTCGTCTGCGTTAGTTTGAGAACTAGAAATGTATAGCTGACTGAGCGAATTCTATTCCTTAAAGACAATAGATAAGTAGATTTTGTATTTGATCAATTTATTTTTTATTATTTTTCAATCGGATGAAAGTATCCTATGTCCTTAGCCTAGTTCTAAGCTATATTTCCACCAATTTTCAGCCAAACCAGTACAGCCGTTCTTGATTTATAAATAGTGTAACCAACACGACTTTCTTTTATATAAAAAAACTAACTGACCCGGCAAATGTTGTTTTGCCATATAAAAAATGAGGGTTGGTAAAAGAGTACAATTAAGGTTTGTATGTATTTTTAATGCCACATTTGAAAAAAATAAACACAAGTCATTTCATCCAAAAATTAAAAAAAATATATTTGGGAGAAAAAACATTTATCAATTAGGGGTACGTAAAATAGAAAGTAACCGATTCTCAGACCTAATGAATACGCATATAAAATTTGATACACATCGGTAGTAGTACGGTAATCATACTCGTAAATTAACATTGTGACATGGAAATATTATATTCTTACCTGATACTTTGTTCACGGGATGCGTGACCGGAGCAGCGGCTGTGGTGGCCGTGTTTGGAGGATACACGGGATCGCAGCATTCTCTCTCCGGGAACTCGCTCCCACCCACACATACTACCCCAAGCACCACGACCCCCAAAACAGACCATGACCTAACCCCCAACCCTCGCATCGACGCTAGCCAACCCCTAACCCTCAAACACACACAAAGCCCTGTCTCATTTTTAACATTCGTATTAAAAGTCATGGATTCACATCACTTTTAGCACTTCATTTGTTGAATAATATTTACATTTACTTCGACATAATTGACTTTTTTTCTAGTATTCGATTTTGAAAATTTTGTATGTATATGTTCAATGTGAATTACTTATTACCTGTGTGTTCAAAATATTTACAGAAATAGATAATATATTACAGATAACTTAAATTATTTTATCATGCAGGTTGCTATTTACAATATGAAAGAGAAAATTATTAAAATATCTATTTATATACTTAATTACAAAAAAAACTAGTTATAGGTAAAATAAATTAGTAAAAATCAAGCGATAGTGAGTCAATCATATTTTTCATGATTTGATAAAAAAATGTTTTTCTAGCTACTTATTATAGAATACGAACTTGCAAAATTCAATTCTAATAACTACATTTTGTATGATAATAAAAAAATTGTGGCTTGAACGTCATTTTTCTCAATGTTATTTATTATATAACATAACTCTAGAGAGACAAGTAAAGACAAAAAATGTAAGAAAAAAAACCTATTTAAAGCTTTAATTATTTCAATACGAAGTCCCATCGTTTATACGAAGGTCATTAAAACAGACGGAATTCATTAAATACGCCATTTAACTTTTTTGTTTGAAATCTCGACCATTACTTTCGTTTTCAAAACTTCCACGTTCCGAGGTATTTTATTACGGAATAAAATAATTACGTACTTTTCTCGTTCCGTTCCTGCATTATATTATTTGAATATAAAAAATGTACATTTAATTGGAGTGATTTTAAATCGATAAACGTAAAAGGTAACCGTATTTCCAACTATGGCTGTAAATAAAAAATGGCTGACATCCGGTCAAGGCACGCACAGTTATTGTAGGCTCCACCGAGTATAAAATACTTCAAGGTTTCACTATTGATTTTAAATTTCTATACATTAATAAACACTACACGTCATGTTCTAGAAATAGTATTAAAAATCATAATAACTTTGTCTCTAATAGAGCAAGATGAATAATATGAATCTTCTCCGTTTGCAGAATTTTAAAGAATGTCATTAAAGCGTTTAACAATGGCGTTAACGAGATGTTTACTATTCTATGACGTCATTAAGTGTAATGACGTCATAGAATAGTGATATGACCTTTGACATGCACTTACATATAACAATAATAGAATTTCGCGTGCTCAATGAATGTTGCTACAATTTATTAAGGCCATGTTAAAATAATTAAAGTTATAGTCACGATAGTTCAATTTGAAAGACGACAGTAATATTATATTCATTAGGTTCAGGTTCGATTCCTGATTTGTTGTTCGTCATTCGTCATCAGCTTATCAGAGCCCACTGCTGAGAAAAGGTCTCTTCTCCAAGGAGAAGGTTTGAGCATTAATCACCACGCTTGCTCAAAACGGGTTGGTGATTTCAAACTTATAATTGTGGAACCATAAGTCCAGGTTTCCTCACGATGTTTTCATTCAACGTATGTCAGTGGTGTCTAAATACTCTTATAAAGTACATATGACTCAGAAAAATCACATTGGTACTTGCTAGGATCGAACCCTTGCCTTCGTGCACGAGGGGAGGGCCCTTTAACCACTAGGCCACCGCTGACTTCCTGATTCACGTTTTATTAATTTATGTTTGTGTTTTAATTTAAATTCATATATTTTCATTGTAATACCATTATCAGATGAAATCTAGAAGATATCAGAAATATGTCTTTCTATTTCTCTTATATAATATTTTTATATAAAGCCTTAAAGCAATATATAATAAAGTTAATACATTGGCATGAAAAACACTGATATATGTATGTATATCATACTTATAAGAAAAAAAAAATCAGTTTTGTATTTTTACATCATATTTCTGAACGTAATGACATAAGCGAATAAGTGATGCGTGTTAAATGTTAAAATATTTTTAACATTTTATATGATTTTATTTTATTCGTACTATTTTTTTTTATTTTAACATCGTGAGGAAACCTGGACTTATAATTTCACAATTATAAGTTTGAAATCACCAACCCGTCTTGAGCAAGCGTGGTGATTAATGCTCAAATCTTCTCCATGTGAGAAGAGGCAGCTCAGCAGTGGGCTCTGATAGGCTGATGATGATGATAAATTCAATATTATAAGAATGTTTATTATATGAAGCGTATACTAATCTTGGTTATCGCTATGATAATTTTATAGTATGACCAATAGTCTTTTCAAGTCCTTATGGGATTTCAGTCCCTTGTATGAGAAAATCGAACAGTCTGAACGCAAAGGCGTATAAAATTTGCGATATTGGCGAAAAAATACAATACATTTTATTGCATATTGGTTACATATAAAGCCAGTGGGCGAAAAGGTTTTGTATCGTTTGATTTATTTGTTACTAAAACAAACTAAAGTGGCCTTTAAGTTATGTTTCAATTGTTATGTAAAAGTTTTTTTCGCATAAAATCATATTATTATTTTTTTGGTACTAATAATTAGGGATTTGTAAAAACATACTCATTTTGTTCTATTTTTAATAAAAATAATAACCTTGGTATGGTTAAAATTTAAATTAATTTGAGCACATTAAATTTGAATGTCAGTTACATATCGTAGTATTTCGTAGTACATCGTAGCACGGCGTAGTACGTCTACGAAATTTCGTAGACCTTCACTAATATCCATTAATTATGAAATATAAATGAAAGTATTGGTAATAAAAAAAATATATCAAGACCTTAATAATTATAATGGTTGAGTTAAATTTATTAATATTAAAAGTAATTACTCTAATTAAAAGTTTTCCAAGTGTAGCATTTAATCATACTAAGTATAACCTATTTTGATATTACTTTATAGTAACTGCAAACTAACTTGAGAAGAAGAAATTAATGGAAGAAAATGTATTTTATTTACTCGATATAAATGTTTGTATGAAATATGAAAAAGTTTTTAGTTATTTTCATTTCTATGTATTTTTTTATTTCGCTACCTGAATTGATATGTTGTTGGTTTTAAAAATACAATAAAAAATGAAAATAATATATTTTTATAGTATTATATGGTATTTTTTAATATTAAAAAAGTGTTATTTGAACATTAAAAAAAGTAACAAAATCGAAATATACTTTAGAAGTAGTTGTTTCGTTAAATGATGGATGATCATTAAATAAAATAAGCTTTTCTTCTACTTTTCTTTTCATTATAATATATATATATATATATATATATATACATATATATATATATATATATATATATATATATATATATATATATATATATATATATATATATATATATATATATAAGCCTAAATGCGATTTTAAAGTTAAAAAATCTATATTTATGAGTAAAATAAAAAAAAGCGTTTTCAAGTCACTAAATTTATTTTAATGAAATTATTTATGATTTTTAGGTAATTTAAATTAGTAATATTTATAACTTTGTATTTCTATCGAGTTTAATATTATATGTTTCCAATATCCTTTATAGTCTAAGAGCTGGTTCGTTATTTGGGCTGTTAATGAAATTTTAATACCTCGGACTGTAAAATTCCCGCCATCGTGCCGTTGATTCCCGCGCTTTTTTATATATTTTACTATTATATCATATAAAAAAAAATTAAATTTACGTAAATTTATTATAATATGAAAATATATTGCTTTTATAATTGTTTTATTTAATATGGTAAATTATGTAATTATATTAAATAAGAATTAATTAAATAAAAAATGTTCTAATCTTTTATTTTGCATGCGTATTATATATCAAAGAATGGCGAGGTATTTTTCCATTTGATTTTTTAATTGCTACAAATATATCTAGATGTTACATAATACGATTTTTTATCAAGCATAGCAATATTTATGTTTAAAAGGCATTGGAACCCAATTCGAAAGCTTATCCATAAATAATTTAAAAGCGTCGATATTTAGAACTTATAATGTATTATATTATCCAAGTAGGTCAGTATATATTCACCAAATCCGTTAGACTCATACAACAGTTGATGACGTTCGAGCCACAATATAAAGCATTCACATCACATATAATAAATATATAAAAAAACTCAGGCAATAAGAGAAATTACTTTAAAAAAAAATTCGAAAATCGCCCGCGCGTCCCATAGCGCGCCATGCGTGCGTTTGATACAACGGACGCGATGCTACTAACGTAGTAGACCTGGAATGGTTTCAGCTACCCCCACCACTTCCCCCCCCCAAACCCCTTTAAGCCCTGGCCCGGGCAAACCATAACGTCTAAAACAACCTATCTCTCATACATAACCCATACTAATTTGAACTCTATCACATGGATATAAAGTCAAATTTCATTTGGATAAAACATGATTTTCCACCGGTAACTCTGTGTGCAGGAAAAGCGAATGCACGCCGACAGACTCGCAAGTCATGGGTACATTTATTAAATTTTCAACTCTAATTATTTAAGACCCTAAGTTCGGGTCAGTAGTGTTTATTTTCAATTGGCTATAACTGTACGCCAGAGAAAAGATTGCAAATGTGTGCAGCGAACACAAATGTCCGAATTCGATTATGTTATAATTGTTACAGAGCGAACTATGACAATAGCCCTTATCTCCATAATTGTAAGGAATATTTTAGTGTATCAATTGCCAGTTTTCCGAATGTACTGTTTGCTTTCCACGGTTCATATTAGCTAGTGCTAAGCTAGAATACGATGATATTTGAATATGTATTCTAGAGTAGTAATATTAGAGTACATTTTCGTCTGTTAGTTTATAATAAGAAAAATCGAAATTTAACACCGAGGGACGGTTATTAATGTTAACGTAGATTTTGTCGAATGAGTATTGTAAGAACTGCAGTTTGTTTGACAAAAAAAAGACAGATTATTATTCAGTTTTCAAATTGAATTACGGCTTTTACCTTATTCGGTATTGAATTTAACTATTTTTAGTGGAATCTGAATAAATGGAATGTTCCATTGAATTTTGTCACAAAGGAGTGCAACCTTAGCTTTGGAAAATAACCAAGTTATTACTTAATTTAACTAAAACTATATAAAGTTATAATTATTTTTTTAATACAAACCTATTATAAAAAGTTAATTTTAATTTTGTTTCTGATGTTTCATGTAAATGTAAAACAAACATCATTTGGTACTTATCAGATTACAGATAAACTGTTATTTTAATTAAAATCATCAATAAAATACATTTTCTATATTAAAAACGTTATTTCGGTTTAAAACAGGGTCAGCCGTCTGGGTCAGGCATGTGCAATATAATTCTTTTATTACTTAATTACCTAAAATTAAATGTATATAAAGATAAGATATCTTTTGATCTGGGAGAATAAAATTAGTATGCATATTCTATATTGTAAAGTATGGTCCAAATGTGGCCAAGTTGGGCCACTATGGCCAAATAAATTGTCGTATGTATATCGTGACCGCCAGTATGGGAATGAACACGCACGCTTTACTTTTGAAACAATATTACCTAATCTGACTTGCTGCCTATTAAACGTATTTAAACAACACAAGTTTCTCCCCTTTTTTTAGTTTATCTTACAAATTATATCTGTAATAAGTAAAATTTTGAATTAATCTGAATATTCAAAATATTATTTCTTATAGTTATTCATTGTTGGTTTAATTTTTATAAGTCGTAGGTGTAACGATAACAGGGAAAATGTAGGCTTTTTAAATATGTTTTTTTATCGCCCACTCAGATCGATTTGCGTTTTCGCCTAAAAAGAATATCAAAATATTATTTCTTTTAAGAAAAAGATGATTTATGATCACATCTAGTTATTATCTAACTAAGAACATTTTCATTAATTTGGATCCCGGTTCAATTAAACTGGTATATCAACATTAAAAAAATATCTTTAGAACTACATCTGTGGTACAATTTCTTTCATCAAATATTTTCAATTTATCGGCCTACAGTACTGCCGAGCATTATAAATAAGAAAATATGATGAACCAAATGAAAACCGTACAGTTAATTTAAAACAAAAGAAAAAATCAAAACCAATTTTTTTTGAAGGTGAAATTATTTTCATTAAAAATTTAGGTGTTCAGATACGGAATTTCGAGACGCTACTTATTAAGATCAATTGAATTTTTCAGTAAGTTTTACCATATTTATTATTAAATGTCGTATTTAACAGAATGTATTACTATATTTTACACTCAAGTTTGCCCTGTTTTAAAATAAATATTGAAATATTTCATATTACCCGTGCATTATTTGAACAGAAACAGCATATTAATAACTAGCTAGCTCAATATCACGAAATACATAGTTTTGTAAATTTTAAGTTTATAAACAAACACACACACGTCACCCCCCCCCACATACACACACACACACACACACACACATATACACACACACACACATACACACAATATTTGCTTTGAGTAAAAATAACTAAAGCAATAGTTCTGTTTAATGAAGAGAGATTACAGTATTATGTAAAGCGTCGCTTAGTTTTTAATTTGTAATAATCTTCAATAAATCCTGTTGTTATTTCTTCTATAATAGTTTTATATTTTAATAAACTCTCTTTATAAAGCTCACAAAGGATTATATTTTCAAGAAATCTCTTCGCTGCGGTGACCGGTGTAGAAAACAGGGAAGGGTCAAATTAACTGGTCACTGATATTTAAAAGAAAATTTATAAAATAATTCTTCTACAACATTATAGTAATATTCTACTTAGGTTTTGTATTTATTATTAAAGTTTTAATTTCATTTACTCACAGCACTGGCCTCAAAGGATTTGTTCTCTACAAATAATTTTAATTATCTTGCGTTACATAAACTCCTTTCCTATTTTAATGACCGTTTAAGTTGCGTTTTTGGACAAAGAAAACTGCCTTACTGGCTTAGAATAAGATAAAGATAACGGCGACTGGAAAAATATTAAATATTTTTTATAACACGAGAAATATTTTAAAAACATTGTTAGTAATTTGTTAGTAAAATAATTAATTAATTTACTATATAATCTGGAATCTTATATCACAGTTTTCGGCATTTTTCAGTTGGTACAGAAAAAAAATTGTTCCTAAACTATTTGTGTTCATTTATATGAATATTACAAAAAGGAAGTTTTCCTAAACCTAATGACTGTTTCTAATTAAACTTTATTATATTTTGAATAAAACAGATCTAATATTATTCACTACAAATGTAATTAGTGTATTTATTATACGAAGAAAAACCATTTAAAAAAAATATCAACTGAAATATTTATTATTCTATTATTTCTCTTAATTTTGTCATTTTTATTTTTTGTGAATGAAGTAAGAAAATATGAATATCTTCTTACATTTTTCTTTTTCACTGATTAATTTTCAAAATAAAAAAGTATGGTGTTTAATTACAATTGTATTTTAAACATCAAAACCCATTTCAAACTACTCGTAAATTACTTGAGTAAAAATTTTAATAAAATTATTATGTTTAATATACTCGAAACGTATCTAGTTAGAAAATAATAACTTTATTAGTTAAAAATGTAATTTTGTTATATTGATAAATTCATTTTCGTGTCCTTGAATTGTTCACAAAATTTGTTATTATTTGAATTGGACAGCAAGTATAGTGGATGCCAGAGACATCCTATATTATACGACCTCTCTTGAAGTATTTGTAATTCTGAATCAATTCACAGGCAGCCTTTGTTCAAAACTAGCTCTTACCTCATAATGTCCAATCATTGGAAGTGTAGATTTGTTTCAGTTGTCGGACCTAGCCCTAGCTTATTGACCACCTAAAACCACAACTTATTCAACTATCACTTTGGCTAAGATTTGGTCTGTTTTACTGCCTTGAGAATTTCCTATTACATACTACTATTAAATTTTCATCAAGTTTTTATTGATATACCCATGTTTTTGTGTTAATATCTATTTTAGATATATTTATTCATTACTAATACTTTTCAATCACATCAGAGACTGTCGTTAACTTTATTGTAGTTTATGTTTTAGTTTATCTTCTTTAACTATAATTATTTTATTCCTGGCATTCAATTTTGGTGATAAGAAAACATTTACACTTTTTTTAACTCTTACTCAAGAAATTTCAGCAGCAGTGTAACACCAACTCTGGTTTATAACTATATTCAAAAGTTAACTTTTAGCAATAGAAAGATATCAAAGTTAAAACAATGTGAAAATAAATAATCCATAAAATTGGATAAAACAAATACACAAGCCTAACTTTGAATTAAATGGCAATTTATAATTCCAACCATACGTCAGATTATTTGAGATCAAATTGGCCGTTTAACAAAACGATAATTTCATATGCTACCCTTTAGAAATAATAAAATTGAGATGAAGTAAAATAGAACGATTTTTACTGGAACTTTCGTTAAATAAACTAAAACATCTATATAGAACAATATAAAATAATCACTTAATATTATAAAATACCCTTTATTTTATTGGTAACTGGTATAGTGATATAAAAAGTTTATAGTTTTTCTAGATGTTGTTAAGAATACTTCAAGTGTCCGAGTATTCCTAAATACAAGAAAAAAGTATATAATCTATTATACAAGGGTCAAGTACATAAATATGACATTTGTTATTTAAATTATATAAAATGGCAACAGAATTAGGAACTTATTTATTTATAAATACAACAATAGCATAATGAGAGACTGATTATGGAAGGAACAAATTTGATTAACTTTTCAATAAAATTAATAACACCGGTTCATTATTATGACCGGGTTCCTCTAATTGACAGAACAGGAAATCATTATGATATTCCAAAGATATATTTTGTGGTATCATTACCTTCTTGATTGTTATGAAAACGATGTAATGGGAATAATTTGAGGTCGACCAAATATAATGATGTAATCAATATTGCCTTTATTTTTTATTATGCTTTATATAATAACAAAAAAATAGATTAAAACATAATTGTTACTTGTATAATATAGTTAAAGATTGCTTTCAAAATTACTCATTCCGACAGTGTTGCTGTCCGCGTCCAATAGATGGCACTCTTCAAAATCATTTCTTTTTTCATCAATTTTATCATAATTACCCTTACAGAGAAAGTCACTGTCGCATCCAAAGTCATTTCTGCCATCTTCTATAATAGATTCATCGAAGCCACTTTCTCTATACCTCTTTTCATTATCGCTGTGGTAACTTTGGTATCTCCCAATTTCAAAATCTGGTGATATAGTTTGTCCTTCACTCACGGTGTCTTTGCCCAAAATGTCTTCATGTTCCATGGTAGCCTGAATTGAATTTGACATATCATTGTATGATCTCACATTTTCGTTTTTCACTTCGTACTTTACTTCGGACATTTCGAGATTATCACGATTTTCTAACATTGGTTTTATATTCATTATATTGAAGTTCGGCATCAATCGTGTGTCCCAGTGATTTTGTACATCTGACGTCGAAGTGTCTAAGTCTAACTGGTTGTCTTCTCCTATTTTCTTAAACGATCCTAAGTTATATTGCAGTGGAATCGAAAACGAAGGTAGATCCACCTGAGAATTCTGTCTTGTTGGCAACGCTGATATATGTATCGCGGGAGATGATTGTTTTGACTTGGAAGCGTAACTATTTTGATTGGAGCTCTCAGCCAGGCTGACTATTTGAGATGAGGATACTGAAAATTTTTATGAAAACAATTAATTATATAAATTAAATAATCATAGACTACTGTTCTTTAACTACTCCTATCTAAAAATAAAGTTCATTGTAATATAAAGCTTTTAAGAAACTGCATATATAAATTTAATATTTATGCTGCATATATAAAGTTAGTTTTTCAAATAATTAATGTAACCTTTAAGTGAAATTACTTATAACAGAGTCTGTACTCAGTTTCATTTGAATGGAAAATATATTTGATGATGTCAAGTAAACCGTTTCAATAGTTACATAAGATACCTGGTATAGTAATAAAGTCCCTCATTTCAAGGGCCAAGGCTGATGGTGACCGAGGGTCGGGGGATCTCGTGGAGCGAGGGTACGGCTCACATCCAGCCTTTTGTTGTTTTCTCCATTTAGCTCGACGATTTTGAAACCAGACCTGCAAACACATTGTTTTGTAAATAAGGTATTAACTGCATTTGAAATGCAAATATCCATTTAAATGTATTTAAATTAGTTTGTTTTTTTTTTACTTTCCTATTTATCCAATGCTAATGTTTTTATGCATTAAAAAATTTTACCTGAACTCTTGCTTCGGTCAAATCAATCCTCATCGCTAATTCCTCTCTGAAGAAGACATCAGGATAGTGGGTCTTATGAAAGGCAGCCTCCAATTGTTCCAGTTGAACATTCGAGAAAGTTGTTCTAAAATAATGTTATTTTTAGAACATTGTTCATACTTTATATCTCATTATATGTGCCGAGCGTAAGTTGTTTAAAAGTTAGAGTAAGGATATGGTAATATGGAAGTGCATTTACATGTTAATTTAAATAAATTCTATTTATTCGACCTACTTTAAAGTCTAAAGTTTTGAATAGGTATATATACAAACCTGTATCTTCTTTGTTTACGTTTTGGTATATCACCTTTGGAACCTAAAAAAAAGTAAAGAATTACATTACTTTCATATCATATCTTTCCCAACTTATTTTGTGTTAAATTTTACTCAAATATGAATTACTACGAAACAGATTAAGAGAAAAATTTTAAATTGCGAGCCAAGGAAATAACAGTGGGTAGAATATTGTCTCTTGCCAAATTGAAAGAATATAATATTTTATTTCCAAAAACAACCTTAATGCTATCAAATAAAATAGAAACCATTAAAACTTTCTACAACTAAAAGCTTTCACGGACATATTAAATTTTCTGGATTAATTAAGTACCATAACTTTGGAATCGTCAAATTCAATCTGTGTTATTAAGTAGTTACTATCAATGAAATTGAATTTATAAGTGAAGTGATAGAAAGTAATGACTTAAAACTAATGTTTAATACCAAGGTAGGATTCTTACTAGAATTAGGTGAATACTCTTCATCATCTTCATACTGTTGATCAGTTGGTTCGTCAGAAGGTTCAGTATTTGATGGATAGCTTTCATTTACATCTGTCTCATGTCTTTCACATAGAACTGAGCCTGGTCCAAGTCTGAAAGATGTATTTTGTTTTGTTAGAAAGTACATAGTAAATATTATTATAAATTCTTCAGTAATAGATTGTCAAAAGGTTAATTAAGAGTCTAATATAATCTAATGGTTTTACTGTTTTATCTATTTGTTATACTATGCAAGATTTCTGGTTAATTATACATATTTATTATGTGTTTATTTATATTATTACTAACCCATTAAATAGATTTGGTATGTTGTAACAGAAACTGGTGGTTGGAGAGACATCGTCGTTTAAAATAGCAGCTGAATCAAAACCAGATGCACCAGCACCGGCTTCCCGTCCATCTAATGATTCATCCATCTATAATACAAAAAAGGTTGTATATAATATCGATTTCTATCACATTGGCTGTATACATGAAACATTTTGCCATAACAAGGCCATAAATTAAAAAAAAAATACAATAGGATATTTAATTCATTTTTTTTTTAACTGTTATATGTACATTAAGCTGACACGAAGATAATATAACGTTTTTGCCTTTGTTTTCTGACACAATGATGTTGTCAGAACAAATTGATCAGATTATTTGATTAAAGGAATAGTGCTGTAAGAAAAGTTAAAAATTACCTAAGTCGAAAGTCAAATCAGTACTTAGACAAATGCATTGAGAGAATACAAGGAATACAGAATGTGATTCTACTCTTTGCCTTTTAGTCTTCATATAATATTTCTTGTGAGTGTAGTACTAGCAGAAACAAGATATTATATGTATATAACGATAACCAGTATGTTTTTTTTAATTTATTTATTTACTTATTAATTTAATTTTTTAAAAATTTATTTATTTACTTATAAATACATATGTAGATATATTAAATCATGTGTTATTCATATAAAAAACATTTGAAGATCTAAAACATATTACCTTCTGGTGCATTTTATTTCATAGTTTTTGAATGAAACGGATACTTTCGAAATATATTTGTAGTGAGAAAATCTTTTTTTATAGTAGTTCATGATATATCAAAAGTACGTTTATATTTTTTGAGAGAAAACTTTTAGAAAATCGCAGTATATTCTGATCCGGTAGAAAATTAATAAAAAATATATACAAATAGCTTTTAATTAAATTAAGTCACATTAGGACATCACACTTTTATAACAGATTCCTCATTTAGAAACAAAAAGAAAACAGTCAGCGCTAAAGACGTAATTAATTTAATAAAAAGTTCAAATTACAACAATATGGGAATTATTATTAAAGATAGTATTAATATATTCTTAACATATGAGTAAAAGTAATATTTTCATTTAAAGAAAATCATTTTATAATCAAGAAACCTAAACTCAGTTAACGCTTCAGGCGTAACGGCTTCAAATGGAGCCTTAATTGAACATAGATAATTTGATCTCTACGAATATCAAATCAATACTCAATATTATATATACATATATGCTAATTAAATTTACTTTGAACTACTTTAATATATAATGAGATCTAAGATTTTCGCGAGTACTCATTTAAATGAAACTAATATTTTTCGGATTTTACTTCGCGTTTTATTTTTGATTAGAAAACTACATACTCCCGAGCAGACGAGATGTCACAATGTCACATCATGAAAAGTAGCCGAAACGTCGGGAGTATGTATTTTTCTAATCAAAAATAAAACGCGAAGTAAAATCCGAAAAATATTAGTTTCATTTACTTTAATATATTTGTCAGTGACTTTTCATATATTTCAGTGACTTTTTATATTTTTCAGTGACTTTGAATCTGAAAAATCATTAATGCTTCGAAACTTTTTTGTAAGCTATGGCTTCATCATACACACTATCTTCTAACATTTTGTGATTACCACACAGTGTGTTTCGACGGTTTTAAAAGGAGCTTTCGCAATTCGCAAATCACAATATTTAAATTTAATAACAACAGAATACTTTACCTGTTTTACGTTACATAAATATAAATAGTCTATTACCCTAGTCACATTATTATTTTATTTTTTTTATTGATAAAATAGTTTTAATGACTAAACATTAAGTTATTTTTCCATTTCATGTCTTAATATACTCGTATTTGTATCATCCCTTTTTCGTCCACTGTTATTGGTATTTTAAGAGAATGAAAAGTCAGTATATTCATTTAATTTGAATAACAATTTTCAGGTCTTTTATATATGTTCAGGTATTATTTTACATATTATATATTTCTTTCATTTAAAACAAATAAATAAGATATATAAATAATTTTCAATGGAGTAATTTTTAAATGAAAAGTACCTACAAAGTAATTATTTTCTATAACAAAATATGTATAAACATATATTTTTCTAAACTTATCCCCTATTATTATAATCCTGTTTTTCAATAATGTTTATCAAATTATAATATTTTAATTACATCAAGTGTAATGTATACCTGCTAGTAAATTAAAAATAAAAAATCAAATTAAAACCGCAGGAAATAATTTTTCACCAATATAATATTTGAATTCTTCTTCCTACATTTTTCGTATTAATTAATTAATAATAGTAGAAGTCATAAAAAATAGCTATCCGTATGGAGTTCATACAAATATATTTTATTTGAATTCTAACTGCGTACTGTGTTGTTGCTGATCAAATAAGTAATAATCGATACAGCTTACAAACTGTAAACATAGAAAAATGTGCTTCGTATGTTTATGTCAATTATTTTATATAAAAATATAGATTATAAATATTCAACAGTCTTTCAGAATCTATATTATAAAAAAAATTCATTATGAAATTAATTTTAAAACAAAATATCATAAAAAGCAAAAGAGAGATGACGAAAAATATGGAAATCATATTCAGTCTATATGATACAAATCATTATATATTATGAATGTTACTTTAAGAATTTCAGTTTGGGAGAAAAATAATTATTATGAATCTATACAAAATATATGTACTACAAACAATAGTAAACAAATAAAAAAGAATTGAACATAGTAAATGTAAATTAAAAACCTATGTTTCAACAGACAAAAGTTCTTTTTTCTCTTTAAATTAATTATATTATTTAAAAATGTTTTAAGATTAAATCATATTGGCATTACAGTTTGGATAGAATAAAGTTTTTGAACGTATATCGATGTTGTTATTATATAACGGTTATTGTTTTGAAACTAGACACGGGGGTGAGTGGCCGTTGCACGCTGAGTAACGACGGTACGCTTAAATTGAATTAAATACCTATAATTTAGTTAAGTTTATTAAATTACTACTAAATGAGGATAATTCGTGTTGTTTTCCTTTACTACTTAGAAGACGGTTTAGTTAACGCGGTCGCGGTCGTGTCATAATTTTTCGCGGCAAAAGTTTGACATCTGTCACTTGAGTTGACAACAAGAATTTAGAACGATTTTCGGCTGTCAAGTTGAATTTTAAATTAATGTGAACATTGAATTAATTTGCAGTAATTGTTATTTGTTAGTATTGTTGTGTAAATTTTGTTATTTCACAGTGTCGATGGATAATTTGGCTGAAGTGTTTATGTTTAAAAAAGTTAGTCAAGGGAAGTTATGATTGTTGTTAATTAATAAGTGACGAATCTATTTATTTTACAATAAAATATATAAATGAAAGTGAGGTAAAAACTGAGTGAAACATTCGAACTTATTGCTAGTATTAATTAAATCACTCTCACACAAAAATATATGATTTTAACCGAGCTATTTATTTATTTGCACTAATAATATAATGGAATTGTATTAAAAAGCTTACCTTTAATTTATTTCCATGTTTTGTAAATACTTTTCGTTAAATGAAAAATCGCGTCGAAGGCAGTAGCTATTGTCACGTGGTCGCTTGTACTGAAGCGGCCGAGGGGCGACTGTCGGTGTGGGAATAGAGAAATGTATGGAGTCGTGTTGAAACATTTTAATATTAAAAATATATTACATTTATTTTTTTAAGAAAAATATTGTTATTATTAAACAATAAAGAATTCTTTAATTTCGTGTGACGTCTGTTAATGATTAATTTATTTTAAGAAAATTATTGGGATTTACATAGTTTTATTAATTGTTCATGACAAAAAAAAAACATACGTGTAAGCCTAATATAATACCTTGTTAATTACTTTATATGTTTATCGTTAAAAAAAAGAACATCGTGTTATTATAAAAGCATCTATCATACCTATAACTTTTTTAATGAATACACATTTTTTGACTTTTTTTTGCTAATTCGAATGAGTCCTTTTACAATACTACAGGTAGAAAATAACAGATTTTGACAGGAAAAAATGATTTTGATGTCAAAAAAAAAATATAACAATAACAAAGTCAGCTCCATTCCATTCTATCCTAGAAAAGCAGTGACGTTTTCTATTACGAAACACAGCTATACGGCGTTTCGGTGCTAAGCCCTGCTGAGCTGGGGGTGGTGGGTGCAGCACTACAAGTGCTGGATCGTTGACAGAGTTGCGGCTTTCACGTTAGGGTTACTGCTATATGAATCGCTGCTGGTTCAGCCTCTAGAAACACTTTCAACTATCTTGTGATACGGTAATGAAAAAAACTGGAAGTTTCTTGAAACTTTACAGCAATAAAGTATAGGAAAGATCTGTTATAAAATTATTTAGGATTTTTTTGTCCAATCCTATTAAATCTTATTTTATTCCACTTCATTCAATCCTATCATAAATATATATGTTTTTTAAATGAAACTCTTTTCTAATGATTGTATAGTACTTTTAATACATTTTATCAGAAGTGATCAATTAGATTAAATGTATTCTCTTTGTTTCTTATCGTTTTCTTAGCTTTGTTAAAAGCAAGCACATATATTGTTTGTTACCTTAGCTTGTAGAAGGTATCATAAAATAGCTTTCCGAGGTTTCAGTACCTACATACATATGTGTTTTTAAATAAATGTAATTCAGATGTTATTACCATAATAATAACTAAATTTTGTTGTTAATAAATCCCAAAACAAAATTTCTATCAACTTATAACGACTTCAAAATAGTAATCCGAATTTTAAAATATACAAACCAATAAATGGTACAGTTTTTTGTCTATAAATTAGAAATCAAGAAATATTAGCCTAACATTTGCTTTTTGTATATTTCTATAGGGCTTATACAAGTGAGCAGATTGTATGTCGTGAACTTCAGGGTTCAGGAAAGAATTTTCCTCGGTATTCCTCGGTATTCGGTGTAGTGGAGGGATATTCCAGTACTTCACCCGATGACCGTTAGGTTGTCATTTCGCTTCTTACAACAAGATTTCCTAGCTGCCCAGATAATCCAGAGTTTTTTTACTTTGATTAAAAAATATCTATGTTTTAATCAATTTTGATATAGGGTAGGTTATTTGGACATCC